TGGCTGGCGCCTTAGCCGGTTGAGCTATAGGCGCCGAGCCGCCAGCTGAGGTTTTTAAAGCACATAGAGGAATTTCATCAGGTGTTATGTCAGGCCAGGCTGCTATTGGCTGAGCTATTTATGGTTAGGGACCCTCTAGGGGGGAAGGGCTACTTGTTTGTTCCAGACAGTTTGGCTCCTTCTAAGCTAATTGTCCTTGCCTAGAAGCAGGAAGGGAGCCAGTCTTCTTCTGATGCTGATTCCACCTGGGTGACCTTGCTCAGGAGGGGAGTAGGGAGTTTACACTAGCCTTTTCATTTCCAAATGAAGTTACATTAACCTCTTCATTCCCAAATAGAGTTACATTAACCCTTTCAGCAGCCGAAAACTGTATGTTCCCTTCCTGTTGTCCTGCCATTCCTTTCTTGTCCGGCCGTTCCCTAGCTTGTCCTGCATTCTTTCCAAAAATCAGGACTTTTTAAAAACGCCCCAGGACACAGGACAAATTGTTAAAAATTGGGACTGTCCCGCCAAAAATGGGACGTCTGGTCACCTTACCCATGAAGAAAGAGTTGCTTCATTCCTTCCTTCTTTCCTTTCTCTTCTTTTTTGAGACAGAGTCTCATTCTGTCAACCAGTATGCAGTGACATCATTGTAGCTCACTGCAACCTCAAACTTCTGGGGTCAAGCAATCTTCTTCTCTCAGCCTCCCAAGTAGCTGGGAACTACAGGTACACACTGCCATGAATAGCTGATTTTTCTATTTTTAGTAGAATTGGGATTTTTCTCTAGCTCAGTCTGGTCTTTAACTTCTGAACTCAAGTGATCCTCCCACCTTAGCCTCCAAGAGTGTTAGGATCAGTGGCCAAGAATTGCTTTTATTTTTTGGTAGACTTCATGCAAACTGTGGTAGGGGACAGCAAGAATATTTCCTCCTTTCCTTTCTACTGTTAGAGTCTGGTCCTTCAGAAAAGAACAGACTAAGGATACTAGGCTGTAAGAGTGTCAGGCGTGCAGGAGTAGAATGGATTGGAGAAAGGACAAAAGCAGCAAAAACAGGGGGGCTCTTATGCCGGCCCCAGTACCCGATCTTTTCTTTCTGTCTACTATATCTGACTCCTAGCAGCCCCTCTGATGACTCAGTGTGGAGGAGCTGGGGGAGGAGATACAAACCCAGACCACCCTCTAACCGAACACATCTTGGCATTTAAGCTTCCCAGGGCCTGGGCCGGCATCCCCCAAACCCATCTCTGAATCTCTAGGGCCTAACCTACACTTTGAACAGAATAGGCTGTAGAGTCTATTTAAAAAGGTCACTCTAAGGAGAAAAATGGTTACACTGTCACCCTCTAGCCTATACTTTGTGAAGTCCTTCCCAGACAGGACTTCAGTCGCTCCTTGGATGTCCGCAGGGTCATGCGGGGCCGAAGCCACTACTATTCCTATTTTACAGATGACGAAAAACCAGTAGCTACACATCGGGTAGCAGCAGTAAACCGCTACAGGTCTCCCTGCAAAAGGTGGAGCCCCTTGGCATCTCCACTTCTCCGAAGGCCTCTTGCGCAGAGCCTGCTGGGAGTTGTAGTCCAGTGCCCTGGCAGCATACACGGACTCGACTACAATGACCAGCGTGCCCCGCGGTCCGCGCCCCCTTCTCTTTCAGCCTCGGGCTCTGGGGAGGCTCTGTGGACCTGCTGACTGGGAAGCGGTATGGCAGCGACTCTGGGCAGCGGGGAGCGCTGGACCGAAGGTACGAGGACATGGCCGGAGGGTGGGACTGGGCGGCGTTCGGGAGAGCGTGGGGATGGGCCTCCTGTAGGAGCATGATCGCTGCGATCTTGGGCCTGAGATGAAGGATGGAGGCCTATGAGAGGATGCTAAGCCTGAGTAGGATTCCGGATGGGCTGGAGGACCGCCCAGGGCAGGGGCTGGAATCCGGAAACTGGGACTGAGGATCTGGCCAGGAGCCTAGAATTACAGGTGACGACTGTTGCCTCTGGCCTCCCGTCCCGCCCCGCATGTGTTCTGCCCAGGGCCCTCAGCGTTTGATCCTTTACTGTGCAGGGGTGGCTGGAGGGCCCACGAGCTGCTGCGGTCTCTCTCTGTCTCTCTTTGCTTCCTTACCTGGCCCTTGACCTCTGCCTTATCGGGTCATCTGACCTTCAGGCCTGACTTGATCTTACCCCTCCAGTCTGCATCAGGACCAATAGGCTCGGGCGGCGCCTGTGGCTCAGTGAGTAGGGCGCCGGCCCCCTATACCGAGAGCGGAGGGTTTGAACCCAGCCCCGGCCAAACTGCAACCAAGAAAAAAAATAGCCGGGCGTTGTGGTGGGTGCCGGTAGCACCAGCTACTCAGGAGGCTGAGGCAAGAGACTCGCCTAAGTCCAAGAGCTGGAGGTTGCTGTGAGCTGTGCCACGGCACTCTACCGAGGGGGACAAAATGAGACTCTGTCTCAAAAAAAAAAAAAAAAAAAAAGACCAATAGGCTGGCCTTTCCCATCCTGCAGTCAGGGAAAGAATATTGATCCAGTGCCTATTATGTAGCCTGCACTACGCTGATTCGGCAGTGGGGATTTGACTGAGACCGCTGGCCCCTGAGCTCACAGAACTCTAAGTCCACTGAGAAAGATTGATGGGTAGACAGCCAATTACAAAGCATTGGCTAATAAGTCCTGGACTACACAACAAAGTCGGAAATTTGGGGAGTACACAAACAAGACACCCAACACAGCCTGGATATCTATCAAGGGAGGTTTCTTGGAGAAAGTGTTACATATGGTGACATGAAGGATGCATTGGAGTTAGCCAGGCAGACTTAGAGGAATAGTATCAAGGAGCAGTAGGTAATCACTGAGTGATATTAAGCAGAACAAAGATATTGTTAAAGCCTTTGCCAGATCCACCAGACAAGACATGAATGGTCTACCCTTTTTAATTGGATTGCTTATGGTCTTTACATTCTGCAGGGGGTCAGGATTTACTGAATCCTCTCCATTAAACTTAGTAGTCAGGAGTAGGCCTTACCCATATATCTCCCTGATCTATCTAGCCAAGCATCTTGGTATGTATTAATTCTATAACTCTTAGTTTAAAAGCATTGAACTCCTCTTTACTTTAAATATTTGGGTGTCGGCTCAGTGCCTGTAGCTCAAGTGGCTAAGGCACCAGCCCCATACACCTGAGCTGGTGGGTTCCAATCCAGCCTAGGCCGCCGACAACAAAAACGGCTGTAACCAAAAAATAACCAGGCGTTGTGGTGGGTGCCTATAGTCCCAGCTACTTGGGAGGTGGAGACAGGAGAATCACTTGAGCCCAGGAGTTGGAGGTTGCTATGAGCTGTGATGCTATGGCACTCTACCCAGGGCGACAGCTTGGAGCTCTATCTCAACATAAATAAATAAATAAATAAAATAAAATAAATTGGGGGTGTGAAACATTGCAACAAAAAGTATTTTATGAGCAATATTACTTTTACTATCGATCACAGAGAAATAGACTTCTGTGTGTGTTTCACTAAAGGCAAGGTATTGGGCAGATGCTTCTTGAGCCCCTTTTCTGGCTTGGAGTCAAGATTTTTTGCTGACTGCTGTAGATATGGTAGACGTTATCATGTGTCAGGCTTCTGGTATCTGGCATTTTCTTTTTCTTTTCTTTTTTTTTTTTTGAGACAGTCTCACTATGTTGTCCTAGGTAGAGTGTCATGGCGTCACAGCTCACAGCAACCTCCAACTCCTGGGCTTAGGCGATTCTCTTTCCTCAGCCTCCCACGTAGCTGGGACTACAGGTGCCCGCCACAACACCTGGCTGTTTTTTGTTGGTGTTTGAACCCACCAACCCTTGTTATATTGGACCAGTGCCCTACCCACTGAGCCATAGGCACCGCCCGGCATCCGGCATTTTAAAGTTTTTCTTGGTTGTTTCTTTTTTTTTCTGTATTATTTTCTTAGGAAAGATGTTCGTTCAACTTTGTTTGGATGCCTTCTCTCTCTCTCTCTCTTTTTTTTTTTTAGGCTAGTCAAGTGAAGCAGTGGGAGTGGAGAAGGAATAAAGGAATCTGTAACTGGTTGTGATCAATTAGTTGTAAACACCACTGCACTCGGACCAGCCTTTTTTTTTTTTTTAAGATAGACTCTTGCTCTGTAGCCTGGTGTAGAGTGTAGTGGTGTGGTCACAGTTCACTGTAACTTCAGACGCCTGGGCTCAAGAGATCCTCCTGCCTCCTGCCTCTTGCCTTAACCTCCTAAGTACCTAGGACTACAAGCATTTGCCACCATGCTTGATTAATTTTTTATTTTTATTTTTTGAAACACTGTAGTCTGGGCTAGCATATAGTAGTATGATTATAGCATACTGCAACCTCAAGCTCCGGGGCTCAAGTGATCCTTCTGCCTTAGCTTCCTGAGTAGCTGGGACTGCAGGTGTGTGCCATCATGCCCAGCTAATTTTTCTACTTTTGGTAGAGATGGAGTCTTGCTGTGTTGCCTAGGCTGGTCTCAAAATCCTGACCTTAGGTGATCCTATTACCTCAGTCTCCCAAAGTGTTAGGATTATAGATGCAAGCCACTAGCCTGTGTAGATGCTTAAAAGTTAGTATGACATCCTTAGCCTAACCCTCCCGTGCACCTTCTCATGCTTACAAGTAGCCTTCCAGAAAGTTAAGACAGGTAACAAAGTTGATTTGTAGGATCAGATAGAGGCCTAATGGAGTGGCTATTGCTTTTCAGCTTATATTGATGCAATTAGAAGAAACAAATACCCGGAAGACAGACCTCATGAGAGTCCTGACCCCTGTGGTTGCTGTAACTGCATGAAGGCACAAAAGGAAAAGAAGTCTGAAAATGAGCGGACTCAGACGTGGCAGGGGGAGGGAAGCTCTACTTACAGTGAGGAACAGCTGCTTGGGGTACAAAGGTGAGCATGTGGTGGTATTAAATGAATGATTTTATGTAAAGTGTTTAGAACTAGAGTGTTTGGCACAGAGGATGTGCTATATAAGTATTGACCACTATTAATATTATTATTATTCTTGAAGCAGTAGCTTCTTGACCTCAGAGAGAAGACTAGGTAGAAGGGGAAAATTAGGGTATAATGTGAGCTGACTTCCTTGCTTCTGCTTTAAGAGCGGTAGTGAATCCAACTTGATATAACATATATCTAGAAAACATTCTATCAGGGCGGTGCCCCATAGCTCAGTGGGTAGGGTGCCAGCCACATTGACCGAGGCTGGCAGGTTTGAATCCGGCCCAGGCCAGCTAAAGCAACAATGACAACTGCAACAGAAAAATAGCCAGATGTTGTGGTGGGTGCCTGTAGTCTCAGCTACTGGGAGGCTGAGGCAGGAGAATTGCTTGAGCCCAAGAGTTGGAGGTTGCTGTGAGCTATGCCACCATGGCACTATACCCACAGCAACAGCTTGAGACTCTGTCTCAAAAAAAAA